TTTGCTTCCCCCCCCCACACCACCAAAAAAAACCCAAACAGACGAGCGGATTTTTTTTAAAAAAAGAGAAACAAACAACTTTTTAAAAAACAACGGGCCCTTCTCTTTACATCTGGGGACGGCGCCTAGCCCTTAAAAAAAAAACACCAAACCGCTCCAAACCCCCCATACATAAAATACAAGCGCCCCTCTCTTTTTAAAACAGAAAACAAGGATGCTAGTCCCTCGGAAGAAGGGGTCTGAGAGATGATCCCAAGACGCCCGGTTTCCGAACCGCTGCCTCCTCTCTCTCGAAAAAGAAAATAAGCTGAAGCAGCAGCAAGAACTTGGTGGGACTTAAAAATCGGGTGGTGTGTGTGTGTTTTTAAGCACCCCCTCCCTCTTTCTGTCTCTCTCTCTCTCTCTCTGTTTTCCCTTCTCGCCACCCGCCTCGGCTTCCTGTTGGCATCCACGCGCCGCTTCTCCGCTCTGGTCAATTTCATCTGGGTGATGGTAAGTTTCACGTCAGTTTCAAACCCCCCCCCCGGTCTTTGGGGCTTACTCGGCGGGCTGTGAAGGGAGGCGGGCGAAGTTTGGGGAGGGAGGGGGGAGGCACGTAGAGGAAAGCGCCCTCCCCCCTAAAAAAACAGGTGGGGGTGTCAAGGGTGGGAAGAGGCAGAGAAGACCCATCCAGAAGCCCAAGGGAAGGAACTAGATCCGAGCGGTGGGGGAAAGGCAGGACGAATGTTTGGCACAGTGTCTGGATTTGGAAAGACGCATCGGTTGGAGTTCACCCCGTCCAGATCCGGGGAGGGGGCATCTCTTCCCCTCCCCTCGGTGCAAACGTTAGCCAGATCGGAGGCAGGCATTAACGGGATGAGAGGAAGGGGGGGGGAGTCAGGTGGAAGATCCTGGCACGGGAAGTCTGCACAGCGCCGGCGGCGTCCCCTTCCCGGCCACCCACCTCCCCAAAATCTTGATGCGCTTTTACGCATGGGCTCGGGAAGGGAGGGAATGCGTAAGATCTGCGGAGGAGGGAGGGGAGGGCGACATCAACCTTCCTCTGGCGCTCTCCTCTCCTTCTCCCCCCCCCGTTCCACCTCTCTCCTCTCCTCCCCCCCCCTTTCCCACTCCCCAAGCCAACTCAGCAAAGGCGCCGGGGAAAATGGCCGCTCGGGCGAGGGAGGGGCGGGCAAGGGGGGAGGCGTGTTGAACTTGAAAATGACGCTCAGCGGAGGGGGAGGGGAGACAGAGCGAGCGAGAGAGAGAGAGAGCGAAAGAGAGAGCAAAGGGAAAGACGCGAGGGGAGGGGAGGAAAGGAAGGTTTCCCCCTGCTTGGTGGCTTTCTTTTCTGCACGGACCGGGCCCGTTCGAGGTGCAGAGGCGGAGCCCTCACCCCCACCCGGATCCTGGATAGGGAGATCTAAGCGGATCTCCCGGCCTCGGCTGATCGCTCTCTTTCTCTCTCTCTCTCTGCGCCCGCGCTCCGTGCGTAAAAACCCAGCCCGCTCCGGCGCTCGCTCTCCGCCGCGAAGGCTGCAGGGCCGCGGCCCTGCGGCAAACACAGGCCGCTTCGTCAGCAGGGAGAGCCCCGGCCTTGCGGCGCAGAAGGTGGAGGGCGGGTGTTGGGAGTTATTTGGGGGGAGGGAGAAAGAAGGGGGGCAACCCAGGCGCTTCCTTCTCTCCATCCAGACTCGGCCGCTCCCATCTCTTCCATCTTAAACCTCCCCGTCCTTAAAGCAACCTTCGCCGCCCCACCGCCTGATTTGACTCCCAAGTAACGCTTCTGAGATCAGTAGGCCTTCCTCCCGTAAGCAGCGCCCGCAGGACTTTTAAGGAGGGCCGGGTGGATTTTTCCCACGACCTATCTTTCTCTTGTGTTTCTTGAATCAAGTTGCTTAAAGTGTTCTCACACCTTTTTTTGGAAAAGCCACCAGCGTCGTCAGGATCAGTGGGGTGTTACTCGCGAGTTGGTTACCTCCGGGGATTAGGCTTCCTGTTCTGATGTCCGGACCTTCATCGTTCATCAACAGGCGTTGCTGTTAGAATGAGTTCTTTGAAGACGTGATCGTTTCTTTTTCTTCTTCTTATTGTATCTTCTCAGCCTGGCTGCTTAGGGAAGGGGGACACCCGGGGGCGAAGCCTCCAATTTAGGAGTCGAGTCCTCAAAAATTTAGCGGCGAGGTGTCACGTGTGCAAAATCACTGATTTTCTTCTTAATTACAGGAGGTGGAATTTGGGGTAGGGAAAGACCTGGCCAAATTCTTCCGAGCGTGAGAAAGTGGGCAATCTGTTTAAAAATTCCTTAAAGTTCCTAGTTGCTTGTCTTTGGCACGTGGGAATATGCCCATTCTCAAGTTTCGCTTTTTTCTACATACATCCCTATTTTTTTTTAAGTTTTTCCGTCTGCTTTAGAAGATCGTCAAGTTTCCTTTCCTTGGTAAGGCCAAAGTTTCACTCTCTTCTCCAGGGAAGATGCAGCCCGCTTCTCTCTCTCTCTCTGTGCGAAACGTTGCGCATCAACCCGACTTAAAACAGCTCCGAAAGAGGAAGGAAACTTTGAAAAAGTTTCTGGAAGGTTGTGAGCGTGGGAGACGCGGCCTGAGAAAGCGAAAGAGGCTGTTCGCTTTCGCGGTGCGCAATAGCCCAGGGGCGAGGCAGTATGGTGCAGTGGATAGAGCGTCGGAAGTTCGGGACCTGGGTTCAAATCCCTCTTTGGGTGGCCATGAGAAAGCCTCTCCATGAACTTCTCTCGTGTCTCAAAAAAATAAAATAAAAAACCACAACCCTCCTAGGGTTGCCCTAAATTGGATGAGACTAGTCAGCCCAGTTATCTGGGAAGGACTACATCTCCCATCAGTCTTGCATACCCTGTGGTAGAGAATGATGGGACTTGAAGTTCCCCCGCCCTTGTTGGAGGAGAAAGCGTCTCGTTCGGGTGGGGTGCTTTCTTCTCTAACCCCATTAAAAGACAGCACCAAAGTGGGTCTTAGGAAATAATAACCCGCTCCGTGGGGATCCAGATTCCGGTTTTTGCGCCTGCCCCGTGTGAGGCCGAATATCGCGGTTTGAGGAGCCCGGGGTTCAAGATGTGAGCGCAATCAATCGATTAACCCACTGGCCAACTAAGCAATTAATCAATCAAGACCTGGCTATTAGAATCCGGTCTGGAAAGGTGGTTTGCAGGTGAGCGGAAGGGAAGGGAGGTGACCCTCCCCACCCCTGAGTGGCTAGCTTTCTGCTTGCAGGTAATGCGCAGATAATGGGCAGCAGGGCGCGTTTGGGGCTCCGCAGGAGGAGGTAGGTGAGAACTTTCCCCCCCGCTGCTTCTGGCACAAAGTACCAACATTTCTCTCTCCTTTGTCTTGGGCGGTAAAATTGCCCATCAGTTCGACAAGAGGGTGTCTCGAAGCGGGGGGGGGCACCCTGCGGTTGACTTAAAATGTGATTTATTTTCAAAGTAGGGCTTTCTCACTTGGCGTTCCCCCGTCTTTCACTTGGAAACCCGCCGTCAAACGTCTGCCGCCCGACTAGCGAGGAGACCCATTGAAACCAATGGCTGAAGGGGGAGGCGAGGCGTCGGTCTTACCCGCCTTGTGTCCAGGGGTCTCTTCCAGCGGGAGGTTGGCGAAAGGTGGCAGAAACTCCTCCTTAACTCAGCCGGCGGAGGCGCTAGTCCTCATTAAGGAAGACCCAGAGGGACCCCCAGCGTGAGCTAGGCGGGTTGAAGGACGGGGCGGTTGGCCCCGTCGAACCTTCAAGCTTCCCACGAAGCGACCTGTGTAGCTTTGGGCCGTGTAGGGCGGGGGTTTCGGGCCATGACAGGGCTCTTAAGCTGTCTGGACGCCCATGCGCTTTTACGCGCGCAAAATTGTAGCTTTTTGCGCGCTTTCCATACACACATACATTGGCTACATAGAGCCCGTGAAATTGACCGATGGGGTCAATTTCACCTGTTTTGATCAATTGTCTCTCCATAAGTAGGGCTCAGGCAGACTGTTCTGAGGGGCGGCACAATTACAAAGCAGTAAAAAAACAAGAACCGAGAAGCATCGGTCTAAACCCAGACTGAGATTTAAGAGCTGACACCTAATATTATCCACCTCTTAGCTCTTTTGGGGCACCGAAGCCCAGGCTGCTGGGTCTGGTCCCACCCACCCCCCTTCTAAAAATTAAGATTACACTGTATATCATTTTTGGTGATAGCTTCAAGGGGGTGGGGGGAAAATCACGTTTAGTTTCTTTTTCAAGAGGGCAAATAAGGAGGTAGAAAAAAATCTCATTGAAGGTGCTCCCAGAGGGAAGAGGAAATGATCTAACTTTTTTCCCCATGAAGGTTTCATTTTGAAACTTGTTTCGGTGCCTCCGACTCAACCCCTTCTGCCAGCCCATAATTCCCCATGAGACCCCCCCCTCCCAACACACAGAAATTAAGGCTAAAATTCTGTGCACCCCAACCTTGAGAATAAAACACAATGGGGGTAATAGAAAGTTTCCCAAGAAACTTGAAACTCAGCTGGGAAAACAGAGTTTCACTTTGACTTTATGTCCAAGAGGTGCCTTAAAAGTTGGGTTCAAAAGCATCAGGACCACCTCATTATTCTGGAGCTGGAACTGGGTGTTTTTGAGAGGGTTTACCTCCTAAATAGGGTGGGGGGAGAGAGAGGAAAAAACTCAGCAACTCTGCTGCCTGTTTTGGGGCTCGGAGACGGGGTGTGGTAGAGAGAAATCAGTTATACTCAGTTTTTTTATTCCTTGTAAGCACCTAGACATCACCTCCGGTGGCTCTCTCTGGGAGGGTGCTCTGTGGCCTCTTTAAATTCCGTATTTTTGAAAGGAGGAGAGAGTGGATTGGATTTTGGGGTGGGGTCTAAGGTTTCTGGAGACTTTAAACCCCTAGAAAAGAAACTGCCCAAAATACAGCTTAATGGGAACTCAAAGACATTTGAAAGAGCCCCATATTTTGGAAAGGACAAGGATAATACTGTAAAAGCATCCATACTGTGCTGATATTTAACAAATGTTTACATTTTCAGTTAAAACTTGTATCTGTGAGATAATACCAGTCCAT